GTGTGAGTGTGAGTGTGAGTGTGAGTGTGAGTGTGCTGGGCAGTGAGGTCACGCGTTTCGCTTTTGTTGCAGAGCTACTGTTTCCGAATCAAGAAGATGCTTGAGCCGTACAAACCGCAGTGGTGCAAAGACCACGAAGACTGGGCTCTGTACCTGTTCTCCCCTGAGAACCAGTAAGTCAGCCACTTGCTTCTCCTCGTGCTCGTGTGTCGACCTTCAACAGTGATAAACTGTTTTAACACTGGGCATGCTGAGGTTCTGAGGGATAGTTCCCTTCTGAATGGAATTGTTATCTTTGAAACTGAGCCACTCACAGTCAGGATGGAGTAGGTTAAATTATTTTCCATTTCCTATCTTTTGCCTGATACAAAATATTCGTGCACAAATGATGACCTAACATCATCTTTGTGAAAGATCTCAGATTTCAAAATTTCAGATAAGCTAAGTAGCTCTGTTTTTCTCTCTCACTTTTGAAGGCATTTTTTTTTACTTTACTTAGCCAAGTCTACGTAGTCCAGATGGTTTATGTTATTGTATATGATCTTTGCGCCCAGGCTAACTTTTACTTTAAAGCCTTGAAAAATCAACATTATTTCACTTTCAAGACAGCATTATTGAACAAATAATGACATCCTTATTTTTTCCTCCATTGTAAGATTTACAACATGTATTGAGTGATATCTTGGAATTTTACCAGGGGCGGAGTAATATAGCTCCAGTGATTTGAGAAATCAGATGACTGTGAAGCACTGATTGATTTTTGACTGGGATTTGAACATTGTTAAATGAAGGTGCTTCTGGAGACTAGAGCGATTAGTCTCTTTGTCCAGTGGACACCGTGAGTCAGGCCTGGACTCACTGTGATGGAACAGGTGATGTGGTGGTGCTGTTGTTGGTAGTGGGGCCTGTGTGTCCTGTGGTAGCTTCCTGACTCGATACTCTGTTCTCGCCCTCCCTCCAAGCTTCAGATCAGTGTGTCAGAAAGTCATCACCCACAAGATGTTCGACCATGTGGTGCTGGTGTTCATCTTCCTGAACTGCATCACCATCGCGCTGGAGAGACCAGACATCCATCCCTACAGCACAGTGAGCCCACATCTTAATTATCTACCACTAGTTCAGAGCTGTTAACCCTAATCATCCTGATGAGAATTCATTTCATGTTACAGTAGCTAAGAGCCATATAAAGATCAACACTTAATTGCATGATGTAGAATGAATCCATACAGCAGCAGCTAGTGTGATTGAGATGATAATATCTAGTGAATCTTCTCACACACTAAAAACAATTGTATGAACAGGGTTGTATTTTTTTCTTTCAGGAGCGTACGTTTCTGAGTGTCTCCAATTACATTTTCACCGCGATATTTGTTGCTGAAATGACCGTTAAGGTAATTGTTTTGTGTATAGTGAACCTTTGGGGTGATGTAGGGATGCCATTGAAATTAATATTATAAATAGGTTTCTCAAAAATGTTTAATTAACATGTTAATACAGTATGATTGCACATGGAATTATGTGACTGCCATTCAGTGGAACATTAGAAGCCTTACGAACACCTGAAACTACTATAAAGAACGATAATGAAAGAAAGATAATATGCAACCATTTAAGGCACTGTACGAAAATGTATATCTTTCTGACTGAATCTCCCGAGTCCGTGTTTTATCCTTCGGATGTGTGATGTCCTGTCTCAGGTGGTGGCTCTAGGGTTCTGTTCAGGGAAGAACAGTTACCTGCAGAGTAGCTGGAACATCTTGGATGGCGTGCTGGTCTTCGTTTCCATCGTCGACATCATCGTCTCCCTGGCCTCCGCGGGCGGGGCCAAGATCCTGGGCATCCTGAGGGTCCTTCGTCTGCTGAGGACCCTGCGACCTCTGAGGTAAGAAGAGGTCATTTCGATGCTGCTTGCATGTCACTCATAGAAAACTGACCCCAAGCGACTTTACCCAAAGGCTTCTGGGAGTGTGGAGCAAACTACCCAGCCAGGTGGTTGAAGCCCATATATTAACGTCACTCCAGAAATGGCTGGATGAGATCCTTGGATCAGTTAACTGCTGACTACTCAACAGGCTAGATGGTCCAATTGGCCTTCTCTCGTTTGTAATGTTTCTCCTCGCGGTAACAAAGCTAAGTCAGACTGGAGAGCAGTCTGACAGTGCCGTTATCACCACCCTGTTTCTTTAAAAGCTGAATCCTCTAGAACAAGAGTCTCAAACTCGGTTTCGAGGCTTAGTGAGAGTCTTCAACTTTTTGTTCCACCAGAGCTCACAGCTGCTCTAGTTATTTACTTAACTGTATACTTCTTCCCAGTCTCTGAGATGATTTACAGGAAGCCTAAAGCTGTAAAAAAATCTTAAGAACGATCCTATACATGTCTAAAAGATTCTGGTTCATTATCTACTTTAAAAAATCGAGAGCACACTTGAACCTCCAGGCAGGGAGTTTGAGACCCCTGCTGTAGAGCAGGGTGGTAAAGACACATGTCTTCACCTGGGTATGCTTTCACAAGTGCTTTGCACATCCTAAAGCTGAACTTCTGATAAAAGAACAGATTTGTCCTACTTTTCCCTGCAAGTTGTGGAACTTTCATTTCTTAACATCGAATTTCTTGTAATTAAGGTTTTCATTTCTCAGTCACTGTCACTTCATTAGCTCTGGTCTGTGCCTTTTCTCCGGTACATATACATCACTGACAGCAAAGCACATTCTCCTTACAGGGTCATTAGCCGTGCCCCAGGGCTGAAGCTGGTGGTGGAGACATTAATTACATCACTCCGGCCTATCGGTAACATCGTGCTCATCTGCTGCGCATTTTTCATCATATTTGGAATCCTTGGTGTCCAGGTAAAGAAAATGAGTCAGGGATCAATGTCTATGTGCTAATCAACTTAATTTCTGCCGTCTTATGAAGGGGCTGCAATCATAGCAGATCGTCCACTAGAGGCCGCTGTATCGCATCCAATCTTTGTAAATAGCCACAATGGGGACTAATTATTCTAATTACTGTATTATTGCTGACAGGTCTGGAAATGCACATTCTCATGTGGAGTTAATTAGCTTTTGTTTGGTATTTAAAGGTCCTGCATTGTGATAGTTAGTTAGTTAGACAGTGAGACTTTTTTTGTGTGTGTGTGTGACCAGAAAAAGACCTGAAATATTTTTTTCTTGTGACACTCAGCGTCTGTTGTGATCTGGAGGTAGATTCGTGTTGTTGTTTGGGTGGGAAACATGTTAAAAATGTTTTCCACCAGTATTGGCCTTTAATGTAGCACTGTATGGGGAAAATATCTCCCTATTGGTGAATGCAGTCATGAGGTAAGGATGCAAGGAGTACTGTAAGGAGACCAGATGGACAAACAGCTTAAGAATGAATAGGGCCCTCTGTACGGATAGTTTGAAATATGATGATGATTTCACAGATTTCTACAAATTCCTCCCTTAAAAAGTACAGATACAAAATGTGAATTATAATTCAAAATGTCATAGAAATACATTGTTGTGATTTAAATTATTGCAGCACAAATTATATAAAATAACAAAAGAATTGAATAAACATAAGAGGACACTGAAATTGTATTATGAAAATGTGACAAATATGCGATCAAACACCCAGCCGCGAGGAGAGACGCAGGTGCATTAGGACTATGGTGTGAGGGAGGCAAGACAACACAGAGTCCTCAGCTGGTGGAGACATGGGACAAGGTTCCCTGAAGTTATGGAGGCTGGTACTCGATATAGAAACTGTGTACCAGCAAGGGTTTCCCTGTGGTTGGGAAGACTGGCACACAATATGGAAACTGTACAAGTAAGTGTTTCCCTTCAGTTGGGAAGACTGGTACTCGTTATAGAAACTGTGTACAAGTGAGTGTTTCCCTGCAGTTGGGAAGACTGGCACACGATATGGAAACTGTGTACAAGTGTTTCCCCACAGTTATGAAGGCTGGTACTCCGTATGGAAACTGTACAAGCAAAGGATACCCCACTGTTGGGAAGACTAGCACACGATATGGAACTTGTGTACAAGCAAGGGTTACCTTGCAGTTGGGGAAAAGTGGTACTCGATATGGAAACTGTACAAGCAAGAGTTTCCCTGCAGTTGGGAAGACTGGTACGCGATATGGAAATTGTGTACAAGCGAGGGTTACCTTGCAGTTGGGAAGACTGGTCTTTGATATAGAAACCATGCGGCTTTACATGGATAGTATTCACTCATGAGGCTTCAGGCATAAATGGGAGCAAGCATTGCAGAGCAACTGGTTTTTTACACAGCAGTGAAAGAGTGCCCTCTTTCTCAGAGTGGCCAGACGTGATCGGGACTTGTGCATTTTAACTACATAATTTTAGCTCTCAGAAATGCAGCTTTCTTTTTTGAATGGGTTTGGTGGCATTGACTTTGGGCTTCCTGAACTGTTGATTTACGTTGTGCAGCAGTCTCACAAGCTGAAAACAGTTCTTTGTATTGCAGCTGTTCAAGGGCAAATTCTACTATTGTGATGGATTTGACACAAAAAACATCACCAACAAGTCAGACTGCTTGCAAGCAAACTATCGCTGGATACGAAGGAAATATAACTTTGACAATCTTGGACAGGTAATGGAGATTCCTTAAACGTGCTACATTTCTACCTCCAGATCAAGAAAATATGAAGACTTTGCCCTGTCTCTTTTATTAGACATTGTACTTTTCTTTATTTTGTAATTACAAAAAGGATAAACACAAAGCTAAACACCTATGATGGTTTGAATCGCCTAACTACGCAATGTGCACTTTTTCAGTAAATGTTTCAAAAGCATTAAAATGTATTACTTTATCTGACCTTTATAGACCTCACATTTAAAATTAGATTGATATGCTACGAGGAGGTATATCTGTAGTGAAACGAAACAAGAAAATACTGGATGAAATTGAAACAGAATTACCTATTAAGTGAGTCAAAAGATGTACTCCCTGGCTTTCTTATCTAGGGTCTTTGAAGTGCAAGTAGTTTTAAGTTGTGGCACACATGCATAGCAAATCCTTTCATGAGGAAAATTCTTATCACTAGACACTTTGATTCTGCCCAGTCTAACTAAAGTCAAACTTTCCTTTCTGAGGCACAAGACACAGTCCGAATCTCTGGCCTGCAAACTGACTTTACTGCCATTGTTTTGCAGGCACTGATGTCACTGTTTGTCCTGTCCTCTAAGGATGGCTGGGTTAATATCATGTACGATGGTCTCGATGCCGTGGCAGTGGACCAGCAGGTACGACTTCACTGAGCTTCGTGATGAATGGTATCGAATTCCGCTCTCTGGTTATCATACCGATGCAGCCTGTTTGTCCTCTGTAGTAGTGTCCCATTTCACCTTGTTCCCCTTTGGCTAAATTATATCGGGCTTAAGAAATATTCTCAGCACCTGAAACTAAATCTCTCATCCAGCCTTGGCCCTTTTTGCATCTTCTCGCCCCAAAATCAAGCACCTTCCGAAAAGCTCCAGCCTCCAGTGACCTAATTAGCTGGCTCTATCTGACTCATTATCCTAGGCCTCAAAGGCATTTTTTGTAGTACCGACAGAAAGCTGTCTATGATAATATTCCCATAAAGGTTTCTTCAAAATCCAGGCTTCCCCACAATCTCTCTGCATCTGGCTAACACGTAGTACAAAAGGAAGAGAATTTCTCTGCCTGTCTCTACCTGTGCTGCGCTGTGCTGAATTGTAAGACTACTGACATGAAGAACTGGGACAGTGGTCCTGTAGGGACTGACTGCACAGATCCATCCTTGTCTTACCTTAGCAAGATAGCTATTACGTTACTGAGAAGTAGAAGGTGATCTGACATGTTAGAAGTGGGAAGTTGCCAGCTTCGTAACAACCCCCGCGGATCCGGTCTGATTCCTGTCGCTGTCGCGTTTTTTCACATCCGTGTAGGCGTCTCCTAACATGTGCGAGGTTATCCAGCCTGCGAATGACTGTGAACGCGTAGCCTTGTGCTAGATTGCGGTTTAGTGCGGTCAGCTGTCACGCCTGTCACCTCCGCCAATGTCGGGCTGCTTGTTCCGCGATGCAGTCCAGAATTTAGCGTGGAAACGGCTCCGCCAGGTCGCTCACTGTTGGCATTAATCTTTGTGTCCTGTTCCCGACAGCCCGTGAGAAACCACAACCCCTGGATGCTGCTTTACTTTATTTCCTTCCTGCTCATTGTCAGCTTCTTTGTGCTCAACATGTTTGTGGGCGTGGTGGTGGAGAACTTCCACAAGTGCCGGCAGCACCAGGAAGCCGAGGAGGCCAAGAGGCGCGAGGAGAAGCGCCTGAAGAGGCTGGAGAAAAAGCGCAGGAGTAAGGAGAAATCCGGGTCTGGTCGGTAGTCCGCTGTCTTTCTGAGCCCTGCCTGCTTCCGCAAGTCCAAAAGCCCGAAACGTCTCTAGGCAGAAAAGGCGGGAAAATTGGGTCGTTTTTTTCCGGTTGTTGTTTTTTTGCGGGACGGCGGCGCGGCGGTCCCGAGCATGCCTCTGCATGCCACTGAGGGTTGCTGCATGAGGGCATGAGAATCCAGCCGCCTTGAGGGAACGGAAGCGAACGGTGGCCCACCGCACGAGGGATCGGCTGCTCGTTACCGTTGGGAGACGCTGCCGGCCTCTGGGATGTGCTGGGCAGGGACACCCCACCCCCCACCCCCAAAAAAAGAGAGAGAGAAGAAACGCAATTCACAATTATTAGAAAGAAAACCCTTGAACCCAGACTAGGCCCTCGTCCGGCTCCATCTGGTCACAGGATAGCGTTGAGACAACTGAGAGTATTGCACACTCCACCTGGATGCCATGTTAGCCCATTCAGAGGACAGAGAGGTATAATCACATGGGATGGAGAGAGTCTGTCCCTCATCAGCCAGAATAGTCAATAGTGTGTGCCGTGCACTGAAAGATCTGCTTGTATTCAAAGCCCTCCACAGCTTGTACTTGTACAACTGGATGGACAGGGGCAACTGGGACAAAGTGCATTGCTTAGGCACACAACAGCAGGGTGCCACCACAGGGACATATGTTTAACCGGGGCAGTGGTAGGTAGTGGTTAGGGCTCTGGACTCCTAATTAGAAGGTGACAGTACTGCGAAAAAAGTTTACAGACTCCCCTGGGGTAGATTTGGGTGAATCTGACTTTGTATAAACAAATTCTAGAGGAGAGCGTTAGGACATGCACACGTCAGTTAAAGGCAAGGCCAAAAGTTGGTCAAGCAGCAAGACGACAATGCTGACCATACATGCTGAACAACGGAATGACTGAAGAACAACATGGGACCTAAAACGCGTTGAAATATTCTGTCAGGACCTGAAACGAGCTGTTCGTGAATGGAAACCTGAAGTTCTGTAAGCCGTTCTGAAGCAGTTCTGTAAGGACAAATGTGCCAAAATTCAGAAAAGCTGATGGAAAAGACCGATAAACTCTTCCAGGAGATATCTCGTTGAAATCATTGCAGCTGAAGGAGATCCCACCAGTTACTGAATCTAGGTGTCCTCACACAGGATTCTTTACTCTAATGGATCTCTTTGTTAATGTAATAATCCAAATATATCTTATGTCTTATGTGTTCTATGTTTAATCAAGTTATCTTAATATTTTATTTAGACTTTGAAGAAGATCTCATTAAATTTAGGTCTAAAATACATGAGATTATTGACCAAACTAGGAGGTTTACAAACCTTTTCTCAGTACTGCAACTTTCTAATTATTCATCTAGAGCCCTAAGCATTATTCTACACTGCCCTGTGTCACTCTCTAAATGTAGAGTATGTTGTTCATTAATTGAGTAAATCTCCACTCTTAGACAGTGAGCCTCTGAGGAACAGTACACTGTATCACTTTCACACTGTATCTGCGAGCAGTGAGGAAGGTCAGAAAGGTATAATGACACGGGTTGGAGAGAGTTCGGCCCTCTGCAGACAGAACAGTCGCTAGCGTGCGCCGTGCACTGAAAGACCAACTTGTATTCAAAACCTTCCACGGCTCTCCGGCATCTCGAATTAAGATCAAGCAAGGGAGAGCGATCATCCCTCATTTCAGTCGGTGAAAAAAATTGAAACATCAACATTGCATTTGTAAATTATTTATAAAGTGAAGGACGGGACTGCAAGTTTGTTTTCAAAATCACTTAAACCTTGAGCTGACTGGACTTGTACGACTGATAGCCCAGGACATACAACATGACAGGGTAATGTAGGTACAGAGCTTGGAATTATTATTATTTTTTAAGATTCAGTTGGCGTTCTACCATGCCAACGCTGTTTTCTTTTTTGTGGAACTGAAAATTAACCGCTGCTTCAGTCTTGTTTTGTTTTTCAGCCCTTATATTTAAAAGTTTCCAATTTCAGGCTACTGTCTTGTACAGTATATTAGTCAGGAGCGCCCCAAGGCTTTGAAAGATTTCAGGTATGCATAAAACATGTAAGGCGCCCAGGACGATTGGTCTGTCGTTGTCATGTCACTTCGGTGAGGACGTGAGTTTTGACAATTCAGCAAATATGGTGACTGCAGGCTCCTGCATTGGTTTTTATTCTGCAGCTGCTGTTTTTCTGACTTTTTGCTCAGTTCCATAGGAGGTGACAGAAAAGGGTCTGGCTGCTCACTATCGTGTCATATCTTTTCACCCACCAATCTGTCACGCATGCTGATGTGGCAAAGGGTTATTTTCTGTCATACAAATGACATAAAAGGTGCAGCTGATCGGAACCTGAGAAAAAAAAATGGAGTACCTTACTGTGAAATTGTTAAATTGCCCGTCAAAGAAATGAGTGATAAAATTATGTCTGAGTGAAGTTGCTTTTTGAACAGGTTCGTGGCATTTGTGTCAAAACTGAATGTCTTATTTCTGGGTTTTCACCTCTGGTCCTTTTTGCTTCTTACTACAAATATTCTGCTTCTATAACAAATGAATTCTGTACAGCTTTCGGGTTCATTAAAATGAATGTCTCTGACATTAACAGGAAAAGATGGTAGAATAGGGGATGGACAATACAATTCCTTAGCTTTGCTTCTGCCTTCCTGCCTTTTTTCCACATCCAATCCTTTTTAGTTGCTGTACAAAACTGTTCAGTACACAGTATTTGTATATTCTCTTGGCTTAATTAAAAGATGGGGAATGAATCTAACTCCACTCCCTATTGTTGTTGCCTGTAAATCTGATTTTTCAAAATGGCAGACTCAGAAAGATGGCTGACAAAATGCTTTAAATGTGCCTTTACAGGCGTTCTTACAGTACGGTGCATTCTAATTGAAATATTATAGACATAGTTGTGGTTTAAAGTATTATCTCTTGTGCTATTATCTTACTGTTTTGCTGTCAATTCCCTTTTTGTGTAGCCATGTGTGTTTTGCAGTGCAGAAGTTATATAGTAAGAGCCAAAAGCACTAAAGAAGAGGGACTTCAGTCTTTACAAGCACAGCCAAAAAGACTGCCGTGCTTAGCATGGTTTGTCTTATTAATTATTGCATGCTTTTGGTGTAGCAGGAGCATGGAACTGCCGCATGAAAGGAATTCTGTTTCAAAATGCCTTCTGTGAATCCTGTATTTCAGACAAAGTGTGTGTAATATGTTAAAGATGGGCGTTTCCTCCCTACATCTGTAAATTGTGGAACCCTGCCCAGATTTCTAAATTTAAATATGAAAATGTCACACATAGAATGCAGGCATGTTTGCCCCCATAGCTGGGTTGTTTCTGTTTCCAGATTCCTCCAGAGGAGAGCTCCCCAGCACTGCTGTTCTTTGGCTTAAGAACTAAGGAAAATTTGCTTTGTTCAAGTAAGCTTGACTTGATTAACAGCGCAATCCCTCAGAGGCCCTAGCCTGTGGAATATTTAAAGAGAAAACCTGTGGGTTGACAATCCTCGAGGGCTAGCAGTGAGGACTTCTCCTCTAGAAGGAATTTACCAAAAACAGTGACTAGGAGAAAAGAAAGATTTAAAGTCTGTGTTGGATGATTGGTAGGCATCTCTTCAAAGCTTCGCAGCCTCTTCAAGGCTTGGTTTCCAATCTGAATTGCAGCTCAGGCGTAGAACTTAAAATAAATAATGGATTGGATCTGTTTAGGCAAGGTTTTGCAGGTCTTGCTCGGGCTTGGCAGAGTTAGGCCTGAGGGGGTCCTAATGACCAGGTTTTCTGAGGTGTGTCAATCCAGTTCAAAGTGCTGATGTCCTCTCTCTGCTTTGTGGCTGTCCATGCAGAGGCCCAACGCCGTCCGTACTACGCCAGCTACTCCCCGGCTCGCCTCTACATCCACACGTTGTGCACCAGCCACTACCTGGACCTCTTCATCACCTTCATCATCGGGATCAATGTGGTCACCATGTCTATGGAACACTACAACCAGCCTCGGGTATTTCTGTCCACTTGAAACAATACTAACATCCACAGGCAACCTCTGGCTAACGTGTGCCTTTACCTGTTTTATGTCCAAGTTCAAAAATGATATCTGAACACGACAGCATCTCCCTATAGCATGTGAATGCACGGTTTTAAGGATGTAGAATTGAGAACCACACCATTTTCTGCCCGTAGTGGTGGCTACTTCAAGCGACAGGTTTTTCCATTTCTTGCTGTAATGATGAAATCAAATGTGAAACGTGTCACTGACTGTGGTGCTTCTCTTCTCCCACAGTCCCTCGAAGAGGCCCTGAAATACTGCAACTACGTGTTCACAATTATCTTTGTTTTTGAGGCGATGTTAAAACTGGTGGCATTTGGCTTTCGGAGATTCTTTAAGGACAGGTAAGGCAATAGGAAATGTCACGCGACCGCCTCTGGTTCAGCGGGCTTGTGAAAATGTTAAGTATTTTTAAAATGCCTCCAAAATATTCATCACTGTTCAGATCAATCGAAAAATATATCAAGAAGCTTCATGATAGTTGTGTGCTATAGAATTTATGTTGATGTATTTGAGATAAGATTTAAAGTACAAATGCAATCACCTGTGGCAAAGGTTTGTTTTGATTTTCCTTCTGTCTGAATCTGCAGTGTATTATGAGCTGCATTCGGAGCGTTCTTGAACGTGCAGTGCAACTAGTGTTCAGCTGGTGTTACTTAAGTGTTGCCTAAAACACAGTGTTAACTCAACCGCATTCAAGCGAACTGACAGTCATTTCAGATCATGAAGGAAAGGAAACAAAACATTCTTGCAGGCCGAAAGTTTATTGCCACTCTCATTGCAGAAAAACAAGGAAATGGCCTCAGGGGGAATTCTTTTCCTCAGTTAGTAGACAGTCAGATGACTCTGTCATTTTGTTTAACTGGAAAGATGTGAACTGTGAATGCTGAGGCATATATACCTTATGCAAACATGTTGGGTGTTTGTACATGCTGTATGTGTGCCCTTTATTCCATAGGACTGTGTCATAATATATTGTCATCATATTGTAATATGTGTCATGTAAGTGAGAGATTGCTAAGAATGGTTTGATAGGTGACTTTCTGTGATCAGACCATAAGCATTAAACAATATTAAGTTATTATTAGCCATAATAACCTTTACTTGAATAAACCTTTATTTGTTCCTATTATTAGACATGTTTGTCAGTATATATTAATAACACCGAAAGAGTGTCAGAAACGCAGACATCATAAAGTCTCAATCTACATGCTTTAGATCAATTCCTGTCTGTGGTCTTTACAATGTGATGGTACAGGAAAAACCGGTGGTGGTGACTGTTAAGTTGTGTGGACGAGTTTCACTCTCCTTGGTGTTAAAGCCTTGCAGCAGAAGTGGATTTTTCACATTTGCACTAGACTGTAAAAAGGCACCGTCCTTCGGATGAGGTGTAAAACTGAGGTCCTGACTCTCCGTCGTCATTAAAAATCCCAGGGCGTTTCTTGGAAAGAATAGGGGTGTTACCCCAGTGTCCTGGCCAAATGTCCCATTGGACCTTACCAGTCATGGTCTCCTAATAGCCCCTGTCTCTGAACTGGCTTCATCACTCTGCTCTCCTCCCCAATGTTAGCTGGTGTGTGGGGAGCGTACTGGTGCACTATGGCTGCCATCACATCATCCAGGTGGGGCTGCACACTGGTGGTGATGGAGGGGGAGTCCCCATTACCTGTAAAGGGCTTTGAGTGGAGTGTCCAGAAAAGCACTATATACGCGTAAGAAATTATTATTATAAAGTGCTTGCCTTCTAAACCAAGAAGGGCAAGTCTAGCTACTGTAAAACACTCTTCTGGGGGAGGGGGGAATTTTGGTATAAAGTAAAAGCCAAAGGCTTTGCTGTTTTGTCATACTCATCAGTCATCGCACAGATGATTTTCTTAAATACTGTCCTTTATTTCCAAGTATTTCTGAGACATCCATCTTCATTAGAGGAGGTGATTGATTTGTATACACGCTGAAAAGCCCGTGGGGAGTCAGACTTGTTGGATAGTTTCCTCTCGGCTTGATGAATGAGGAGCGACATTTTGTATTGCATTACTTCTCTGAATATTTAATAATAATAGGAAGTAGAGTGTTTTTGAAGAACTGACCATTTTTTTTTTGTTCCCTAGATGGAACCAGCTGGATCTGGCCATTGTTTTACTCTCTATAATGGGAATTACTTTGGAAGAGATTGAGATTAATGCCTCACTTCCCATAAACCCCACCATAATCCGCATCATGAGAGTGCTAAGGATTGCAAGAGGTACTGCTGAACTTTTGGCCTTAACTTTCTTTTTACTTTCACGACACATTTGTCACCCCAAAATCAGCTCATGTTTGACGTTACAGAAAGATGTATACATATATCTGCATTTTTCATTTTTGATAAGCAAGCCTGCGTCTTTTTTTTTTGTTGTTGTCCGTGACATAAGGCTAATAAGATGAAATCCTGATAAGCTGATAAGCTGGAATGTGTAGATCCCGCAGAATAAATTCCTGCGAAACTAATCATTATGGGGACTGAGCATATTAAGAGGTTAGATTGCTTGTGGATTCGTGTAAGTATGCATTGTCTTTCCTCTGAGAGGATTGCTTTCAGATCTTCAATTTTGCACAACTATTTTATATGCAGATATTTAAGGAACGGGACAGTGGCACAGTGGTTAGCATTGCTGCCTTGCAGCACTGGGGCCCAGGGTTCAATTCCTGGGGTGCACTCTGTGTGGATATACTGTAGTATGTTCTCCACGTGTTTGCAGGGGTTTCCCCTAGGTGCTCCAGTTTCCTCCCACAGTCCAAAGACTTGGAAGTGTAATTGGCTTCTGGTAAAACTGGACCTGGTGTGAGTGTGTGCGCGTCTGTGTCTGTGTGTGCCCTTAGATGGACTGGCATCCTGCCCCAGGGGGTATCCTGCCTTGTACCCGTAGCTTGTTGCCTGATTAGGCTCCGGCTTCCCGGCAATCCTGAATTAAATAAAGCTGTTAGGAAATGGATGGATATGTGAGGATTCTGACCCCCAAATGGAATCCTTTAGTAGTGATAGTATATTGTTTTGTGCATAGAGTGTAGGATTTAACACTGCCACCGCACAGCGGTTGAGTCTGGGTTTCATTAGGGACCAGGACAACGTCTGTCTGCGGCTTGCCCTTGTGTTTTCCCACAATGTACCTGTTGTGGGCTTTTTGGTGCCGAATCAACCCTGTGTGCTTGTGTGTGCCAGTCCAGGGTGGGGTCACTGTCTTTTTCTTGGTGTCTTGTGATTCTGCATTAGGCATTGGCTCACCAAGACCATTGCCATCTATGAGCAGCTTTCCAATAATATATTGGGTAGCTGGAAGTTGAAAATTATGAGCGGGAAACCTAGTTTTAATCAGAGACTATACAGGCATACAGGTCTGAAATTTGGCAGTGCCAAGACTAATAAAATATACATTTGCAGAAATAGCTCCTCTGTGATTAAGAGATGTTGGCTATTTTGTTGGGGTTTTATTTTAATTTGGTTGAAACACAAAACCACCTAAGAATCTCCAAATTAGGAAGCTTGGAATTTAGAATTTTACTTACGCTAGAAAGTAAATTGGGAAAACTTTGTCCTGTATCAAGATGGTCTAGTGAATAATTGCATAATTAACTGTGTGCTCATCAGCCATTTTCTGATTCAATGGGCTAAGCAGCTTCTGACTTTCTGTTCCCAGTGCTGAAGCTGTTAAAGATGGCCACTGGGATGCGTGCTCTGCTGGATACAGTAGTGCAGGCTTTACCACAGGTAAGGCATCTTGGAGGAGACTTGGGTATCTGTCTTTGTAATTGGAATATGCATCTGCTGTATCCCAGCTGATACAGCTGGCAAGATTAAACAATTTTAGTGATTATTAATTTCAAATGAGTGCTTCTCTCCGCACTGTGATGCCTATATGACACACACCATTACCTGTATATAATGGTGCTGTGAAAAATAATATACAGTATATAATTCTTACCCTACTTGACCTTCCTTGTTTAGAGTGGATGCCTTCAATGCTTCCTTTAATTTCTGGGCAATAGAATTTGTAAGGATAAATTCTCCCGGACGAATTCCAAGGTCAGGCAGAGCATGCTGATTGAGACTATTTTTTGAGGACATTCTTGAATCAATAAACCCCTCCACTAGCAGCTGTGTGCATGAGAACCCTTGTTGTGTTAGAGCTGCGCATCATTCTGTCTGTCTGCTCTCTCCAGGTGGGGAACCTTGGTCTGCTGTTCATGCTTCTCTTCTTTATCTATGCTGCTCTGGGAGTGGAGCTCTTTGGGAAGCTTGGTGAGTTCTTGGTGTCACTGCAACTGTGAAAGGGGAACTGCAGTCCCAGTTTCTCAGACCGGCGAATAAATCTCGGTAACAAAATAAATTCATTGAGGTTATAGAAAAAATGTACAAATTTCGAATGAAGCACGAAACTTTGCTAAAGTACTCAATGAGTACTCAATTATCTTAGTAGATAACTTTTGGGGTACTGATTTCGTGTAATTTTCTGCAGTGCCAGGAATGTGAATCCACGTTCAGCATCGTTTCTTAAAGGAGTAATAAAATGCATTATGATAAATGGGTTGTTTTAGCTCACCCCATGGATAAATTGTTGCTGTGATGAGCCACATTTTGAATGCAAAACCGAAATCTGTTACTCATTTTATTTCTTTTTAATTTGTCCGTATGCACTAGGTATTCAATTATTACTTTCGTGTATCATCTACTATGGTGAGTTGCCATGTTGTCACAAACTCGCATTTGAGTTTTTACAAATTAAGATAAGATCACTTTATTGCCCGCATACAATTTCTTGTATTAGGCATTTGTCTTTTTTTCGAGACCCCAACTTGCTCTCCATGAGACACACAGACAGGGAGAGAGAAGCTTGGGTTCAGAGCGCAGGGTCAGCCATTTCTATGGCACCCCTGGAGCAGCTGGGGTTAAGGGCCTTGCTCAGGGGCCCAACGGAGGAGGATAATAATAATAATAATAATAATTGCTTACACTTATA